GTAAAGAGCAAGGAATAAGCACTCGAAAAATAGTTTTTATTAGTCACAAAAATATTTAGTGTACCAGGAAGAGTATTGAAAACACGAAGACAGTCGTTGAATGCAGATGTTGTTGACGATATATTATTGATCAGAAATTTCAGAGATCTTTTGTTGTTGTTTCTTGCTGTATAAATAAAGAAAATGAAAAGAATTTACTTTATTACGAAAAATTTTCGAACTTGAGTACTCATTTTTTGCTGTAATTTTTTCATAGGACAGGATAGAACAGGTTACGCAAAAACATATTGCAGATTACGCCGTAACCTGTAACCTATCGTAACCTGCAATATTTTTTTGCGTAATATGTTCTGTCCTGTCCTGTCATAAGGTATAAGGTTATGAAAGGTTATAGGTCGTTAAAGTTTTTACAGACAGGTTACACAGTGCGCAACAACTTGAACATTTGGGGAAAAACCGAAAGTAAGATTTTTAGAGATTCAATGAGTTCTACATATACAACGATCAGTGGCCTATTTAATGGTGAAAAACTTTTGGCTCTAGTGCCTAAGGTCATCGAGAAAGGTAAGCTGTAATTTTTAGCTCGATTTGTGTGACCTTCAAAATTTTGCTATTTCTGTCAACAGAACGAACTTCAGAAAAAATAAAACACACATACTCTGAAAGCTGAGTTTTCAAGCTATCGATTAATAAAAGAAGTTTTTAATTTAAGTTAGTTTTTGGTGGGAGAAAAAAGAGTTTTCCGGAGACTAAGCGTTTTCCGCGAAAGTAATTTTAGTAGAGTTGGGACCCTAAATTCCCCTGATGTCCACCGAAGCTGAAACTTTCAGGAAATATTCTTCTTTATACGATACGTCTGTGCACTTAGCCCAAAATAGGAATTGCTTTTAAAATTGCAAAATGCAATAAGATTTTGAAGATATTTTTTTACTGTTATTGTCAGTTTAAAATAAAAACACGAGCTCCTAATTATTTTTTCATTCAGATTATAGCAACTCGCCCAAATGAATTCACTAGCTAACAAATCTCTGAATAAAGCAGATGTTTGCTGCACAGTAGAGTAACTATTATCCACTATCGATATTAGCGTAGCTACGTATATTCACAAAGACACAATGATTTCAAAAAATTTAAGATCTTCGGTTCTTGAAATTTCTTTAACTTCTTACGTTTTTTTATCAAGATTTTGAGTCAAGATCTCACTAAAAATATTCAAGGATTCAAGATCTTGATTAAGCCTCATTAGGGCAGATTTTGGGATCGGCACGTAGAATTTTTTGCCCGAAAATTTAAAAGTCAAGATTTAAAATCATGAACGCTTCTAAAGTATTTTTCTATAAGTTTTCAGCGACGCTCTGTCTAATGGAGTGGTTTTTGAATTCTGATAAAGTTTTTGAAGTGGTTTGGAGAGATCCGTTCTCTAGAAAACCCGTCGGGAAACTTTTTTAAAACTCGAAAATCATTCGGTTGGAAAGAGCGAGTTCGGAGTTCATCATAATGAGTTCGGACTTTCAGCATAGGGTTGATTTCCTTCGCTAATCATGATTACAAGATCGAAAAATCGGATAAAGCATATTTTTGTTATTGGGCTTATCAGAAACCCCTTTGGAAAATCTTGGGGTTATGTAAAATCTCTTTTGAGATCTCGTATGAACAGGATATAGCATAGCTTAAATACTCTACATTCTGAAATTTTGAACTCGTTGGGATGTTTCTTGAGTGAATAGTAAATTTTTAATAAATAATAAATAAAAACGCAAATTTTCGTAAAAGTAGATTTTTCAGTAGATTTTTTTAGAACTTTTTCTAAAATAAGATATTGCCACGAGACTCAGTATGACCGATTATCTATAGTCCATCCTTTTAAAGGCTACCAATAGTCATCGAGTGCCACTCCTGGAATTCGTACGAGATCCGACACAGCACCCGAGCCGCGGAAAATCAAGGTCTCGTTTGACTCTCATTTTGAAGAGGATACCTTGGGCTATCAATCCATGGAAGAAAATCTATACAATCCTATTGAAAAAGTTTTATACACGGTCTGGTTTTCCAAAGATCTTCCAGAATACTTGTTCCGAAAAGCACTTCGGGAAACGTTTTTGCTTATGAAAGCATGCTTCCAAGTCTCCTCTGTCGCATGGCGAAAGCCGGAGTTCTCTAGCTACCTTTTACCAAAAGTTACTCAAGAAATATCGGAGGGCGTTATTCACTAGGACAGATAGTAGATCACGTTAAGATTGTGATCATTTCTATGGCTCCGTCTCTTGAAACTGAAATGTTAATTTTTGAAATCGAGTAAAATCTTGTGGCAGAACCATGAAATTCAATGGTTTCTGAATTTGGAAAACAGGTGATCCCACCCAAGTAAATCAAAAGTGGAAAAAAGAAATTTGCACCTATAAAGTATCCCATCTAAGATATTTCTAGTAAACGTTTTAGTTCAATAAAAGGAAGATTTCGAAGTATTTTGCTTCTCGATTCCTTGCATTTTCAGGAAAACATCGTGTCATCGTAGAAAAGCAGAATATATTGTGAAGAGAAATATTTGATACACAACTCTTCATGTATGCTCCTGTCATCCACGGTAAGGTGGTTCTTTATATCGTTTACATTGAACGTAGAAGGCGAACTATTATAGAGTCGATTAGTTTTAAAATATTATGATCGATTTGTTTTGCAAAATGCATCGTCTGCTCATCTTTCATGTAGGTTCCCCTGACTTACGCAGTGATGACTCATCAGCTGTTGCTAGGGAATGGATATCAGTGCCCTAGTGAGGCTTAATCAAGATCTTGAATATTTTTAGTGAGATCTTGACTCAAAATCTTGATAAAAAAACGTAAGAAGTTAAAGAAATTTCAAGAACCGAAGATCTTGAACTCCTCCTACTTGTGCCAAGATCGGACTAGAAAAATTCAAGAACCCAAGAACTTAAATTTTTTGAAATCATTGTGTCTATGTGAATATACGTAGCTACGCTAATATCGATAGTGGATAATAGTTACTCTACTGTGCAGCAAACATCTGCTTTATTCAGAGATTTGTTAGCTAGTGAATTCATTTGGGCGAGTTGCTATAATCTGAATGAAAAAATAATTAGGAGCTCGTGTTTTTATTTTAAACTGACAATAACAGTAAAAAAATATCTTCAAAATCTTATTGCATCCAAAAGCAAAATAATTTTGCGTTTTGCTGTTCTCAACGCTGCTACGATGGTGAACACAACGAATGGCTCATTTTATTAAAGTATTTGATTGTAGCCATTGTGATCGTCGTTTATACTCACTCACTGAGTTGTAATTGAATATGACTTTGTTAAGAAACTAAAAATCGGAATAAAACGACAATTATTTAAGTAGCTACGTTTTGCGCTCACGAAAGCGTATTCAAACTGAAGGTATCGCTCATCTACCCTAGTTAATAAAGCGATGAGTCATCACTCTGCTTTCATTAGTTATACTACTAAAATCAGCCCTATGCTGAAACTCCGAACTCGTTGTGATATTTCTTGAGTGAATAGTGAATTTTTTAATAAATAATAAATAAAAACGCAAATATTCGTAAAACTCACTTTTCAGTAGATTTTCTTAGAACTTTTTCTAAAATTAGATATTGCCACGAGACTCACGAGGGAAGTACCCCAACTGATAAATCGCTTTTTCAACGAAACCGAGTGGACTATAGATAGTCGACGATGCTGACTCCGAATATCACCATGAATGTTGCTGCTAGGCCTTCAAAGACCGGTCTTCTGGAAAACCAGTTTTTGAGAAACTCTAAAGAACAACCAAAAGCTTTCTTAATGAGGCGTAATTGTAGTCCATAAATTTCTGATTAAAACGAGGCATCTCCAGCCCTACACAACCTTTCTTTGCAAAGTTATAGAGTTTACATGAAAAGCCCTAAATGTTCATTGCAATCACGAGCTGCAGAAAGAAAAACGAAAAATGAATTTAGGGCTTTTCTTGTAAACTCTATAACTTTGCAAAGAAAGGTCGTGTAGAGCTGGGAGATGCCTCGTTTTAATCAAAAATTTATGGACTACAATTACGCCTCATTAAGAAAGCCTTTGGTTGTTCTTTAGAGTTTCTCGCAAACTGGTTTTCCAGAAGACCGGTCTTTGAAGGCCTAACAGCAGGATTCATGGTGATATTCGAAATCAGCATCGTCGACTACCTATAGTCCACTCGGTTTCGTTGAGAAAGCGATTTAACAGTTGGGGTACTTCCCTTGTCAGTATGACCGATTACCTATAGTCCATCTTTTTAAAGGCTACCAATAGTCATCGAGTGCCACTCCTGGAATTCGTACGAGATCCGACACAGCACCCGAGCCGCGGAAAATCAAGGTCTCGTTTGACTCTCATTTTGAAGAGGATACCTTGGGCTATCAATCCATGGAAGAAAATCTATACAATCCTATTGAAAAAGTTTTATACACGGTCTGGTTTTCCAAAGATCTTCCAGAATACTTGTTCCGAAAAGCACTTCGGGAAACGTTTTTGCTTATGAAAGCATGCTTCCAAGTCTCCTCTGTCGCATGGCGAAAGCCGGAGTTCTCTAGCTACCTTTTACCAAAAGTTACTCAAGAAATATCGGAGGGCGTTATTCACTAGGACAGATAGTAGATACACGTAGCAACGCTTCATTTTTCATAGAAATCTTTCAAATTTCCAATCAAACGTAATAAATGGCCTTTGTATACATATGTTCTACCGATTAGTTGCTGTTTTTTGTATGACGTCGATTGGTGTTTTAACTACAATCTCTTTATAATAATAATTATAAATTCTGCAAGGAACACTTATAGAAGTACAACCAACGCTGCTTTATTTTCATATTATCGTGATTTAGAAAAATACCACGTGTAGCTTAATCGACCTTATCGTTTCTTTCGTTTCATTTTCTTTCGTGTATGCATCAAGTAAGAAGCAGATCGAATATATTTTGTCCTTCTAATATATTTTTTTGTCGCGTGTACATCGCCGTATAGTCATTATCATGTACTGGAAACCACTGCTGTCTCAACCGGAAACAAAATCCTTGTTGTTTCTTATTTTAAGTGTATTGGTCTTCTCATTAGGTAGCCTTATCCTTCATTCATTTTCTCCATCGATATTCTTCGTCTACACGTTAATATGTGGATACATCACTCGAAAACTCGCCGATGGTCGGCCATTCATTATTTCCACTTATAGTATATCGAGTAAAGTTATCATCGTCACTGGAGCAACATCTGGTATTGGTCGTGTGGCGGCAGTTGAATTAGCCAGAATAGGGGCCAAAGTTATCGTAGGAATTCGAGGTCAGGAAAGAGCTGAAAAGATTGCTAAACTGATCGCACGTGAGGCCAAAGTTAGTCAAGAACGTATTATCGGTTATCACCTTGACTTATCTGATCTAAGTGTTGTTAAAACCTTTGCCGAGCATATTTTACAAACGGAACATGAGCTTAGTATTCTACTGAACAATGCCGCAACAATACAATACTCACATTCTTTAACCGCACAAGGATTTGAAATTCACTTTGGTACGAATCATCTTGGTCAGTTTTATCTTACTCAACTTTTGCTACCGTTATTGATCAAGTCAAAAGCGCGAGTTGTTAATCTAAGCAGTATGGCTCACTGTTCCATCGATGACAAAGGCATCGATTATGCGTTCCCATCTTCCCCGTTTCACAGTTTTCACCTGTATAGTCAATCAAAATTAGCCAACATATGGCACACCGTCGAACTGAATCGTCGTTACGGTGATCGAGGATTAACCGTCGTTTCTCTTCATCCCGGTACAATTATGACGGAGCTATCACGTGAATTACCCAAAATATTTGCATATCCTGTTAAATTGTTATTCTATCTCGTAGCTAAAACAGAGTATCAAGGCGCTTTGACAAGTTTATACTGTTGTTTATCAGACCACATTGTTTCTGGACAGTTTTATGCCGACGTGCATCCAGCACTTTCGAGTCCTTTAGCTAATGATAAACAATTAGCCAAAGAATGTTGGGAATTTAGTGAAAAAGCGATTAAAGGCAAAAATATGTAAAATATAGAAATTTTTGCTTATACATTCAGTTGACTTTTTTTGGAGTGTAACAAATAACAATTCAGAATAGTATTTAGCTTTTCCGCTCCTTGAATCATTTGCTAACTGCACGGCTTTAATAAAAGTAGTATGGACTGTGTATCTAATTTAACCTTTAGTAAACTATCATGACAGCATTGTTTCTGAATATTTTCTCATAGTTCAAGTTCTAATAAATAGACTAACATGCGTTTATAT